TTTCAGACAAATGGTTGTCCAATCTCTTCTTAAAAACCTCCAGCATTGGAGCATTCACAACTTCTGGAGGCAGGTTGTTCCACAATTACTCAAATTTATTCAAATGTAACCAAAATTTACCAAAATTACTGAAATGTAATTTTAAAAATAATTTTAGCATACATTAATATATCTATACACACAAAATGCTGACAAAATAAATAATCAGGATCAATTTTATTAATATGTAATAATGAACTTATTAACATGTTTAGCTTATGTTTAAATCCAGCAGTGGCCATGAATCGTAGTTCTCCCTTAGCTAGCTATCCTTGGGGCAGTCACTCTGTCAGTTTAACTCAGGATTCCCCCACCCCTGGTCCATGGACCAATACTGGGCCACGGCATGCCAGCAACTGGTCCACACAAACAAGCAAAGCCGCATCTGTGGGATGCAGGCAGCACACAAAATCATGCACCCTCCAGTCCGCGGAAAAACCTCTCTCCACGGAACCAGTCCCTGGTGCCCCAAAATTTGGGGACCTCTGGTTTAACTCACCTCATAGGTTTATTGTGAATAAAACTGGAGGGAGAATCATGAGTGGTACAAAACAAAGGTGGAATATAAATCTAATTAGTAAATAAAAGGTGAATGGAATACAAAACCTCAGAGGAGTGGGGAGAATTGTGTGTTAAAGGATTTCTGTTTAACTCCTTGACAGATCTATACTTAGGGAGCCTAGTTTTCAATCTGCTACCCATGTTTGTCAAAGCCATCAGACATTTTGTAATTCAAGAGAAAAGACAAGATGGGTCATTGTTTCCTGTTTCAAGTAGAGGAATCTCATTTGAGTTCACAAATGACTCTTATTTCATCTTTTACTTACATTCCATGAACCATGGGATTTTGTCCTCCACTTTGTGTGAGAGTTGTGTTGCACTTAGTTCTGTCCTCCTGATATTTTTCATTACTCTCATCCCCATCATCTACCGCCTGATGGGACCATCAATTTCTGTATAGTAGTAGAGCCACTATTAGGTACTCAGCAAACCCAGCGTGAACAGTTTCGACCTTTGTGGAGACCTTTTTTCTTATATTTTTCCAATATTCTCATTTATGTGGTTGAACTTGTAAAATTCTCAAAATACAAGGGCAAGCTAAATGCAGAAGTGGCCATCAACATACCAACATACAGTAGATTACAGTCTCCTACACCTCACATGTTTAATAGAGCCATTTGGTTGCTTGAAAAGAGTTCTATGGAATTAATTTTAAAGCATGGCACTAAGTTTAGAATTGAAGAAATGTTGCTTTCCCTAGTTTTAGGGATCAGAGTGCAGTGCAGACTGCAGCAAACTGTTTTGCTAAAAAAAAAAAAAAACTACAGCTTTGAACATGCCTTCTTTTCGACTTCAAAGCATTTTACAAACATTCATTATGTTTGCAGACATGAAAATGCATTGGCAGAATAATTAGTATTTATCCTACATGCTGAGATACTGTCTGAGAATGAAAAAGAAAAGATTGTTTAAGCATAAGGCATGCCTCTGTTACAAATGTAGCAATAAAAATTGGAAACAAATTCTGACAGTATCATAGTACCGGAACATATTAAATGTAATATGTACAGACTATTAAGCTTTGCACAAAATATATGCTAATGTTTTAAAAAACCAAATAGTCAAAATGCATTGTTTTTCTCTTGCAGATTTCTACCACCACCCAGTTTTAGAATCCAGGTCCTACCAAAATTGAGGAAGGAATCCATGGTTGATCTATATTTTTCACTGCATGCTTGTAATAGTATGCATGCAAAAACCAGATTTTAAATGCAAATATGCAAATCTAAAACAGCCACAAGAGTTCTCACTTTTTCCCATATTTATAGCATTATAGTGTAGTTTATGGTCTATTAAATCACTATTAAATAGTGTAGGCTCTACTGTGTCATGAGACTTTAAAAGAGCAAGAAACAGCAGGGTACTCTTTATAGGAACTGCATGATATACCATGACTTATGAAGTACTTGTTTGATAAATGCAGTTGACAAAACATAGGTGAGCTTTCATATGTCCTTTAGTTCAGGGGTCCCCAACCCCCGGTCCATGGACCAGTACTGGGCTGTGGCATGCCAGCAACCAATCCGCACAAACAAGCAAAGCCCCATCTGTGGGATGCAGGCAGCACACAAAACCACGCCCCCTACAGTCTGCGGGAAAACCTCTCTCCATGTAACCGGTCCCTGGTGCCCAAAAGGTTGGGGACCTCTGCTTTAGTTGTCATGAAATTTTAAACCACCCTTGGCATATCATAGATTATAGCATTACAATGCCAGTGTAGTTTGAGCTTTATTCCTTAGCATACATCCACCAAGTAGCCCCTGGGTTTTTAAAAATCAAATAATAAATAAAATAAAATGAAAACTTGCATAAGGGAAAACTATTCCAGAATACCTCTCACTCGAGATATCTTGTTCTCTGCTCTGCATCTCTGTTTGGTGGAAAGGTTGTTACTTTCAAGGAAACAGTTGATCTTTTCTACCACAATGAAACCAACTTGGTTAGAATTTAAAGAGAACTTTCTACATGCAGTCCTTACTTCTACAGAGAAGATACATAGGTGGAATCATGGCCCTTCAAGATTGTAAACAACTTTATGCTTATTGAGAAACTTGAAAGGTGGATACATAGAGCATGAATCAATATTCTACTCATGGTTGTTGGTGAGAACAAGTAATGTTATATATATCATTGTTGTACCAATGATGCAATTTGTACATTTTACATCATTTGAGTAATGATGACATATTTTCCATCATCATGGTTTCTAAATGAACATTTGTAAATTTACCCTCATAATTATCTAAGAATTTCAAATTTTGCTTCTCAGATATATATCTTAGGCTCGTGGGGCTTTCCAACCTATTGTTCCTATGACTGTGACAACTGGGGACAAGCAGAAATATACCTCATGTCAATTGCACCCCTGCTAACCTCAGTAACAATATACCTTTGAAAATTTCCTTCATTTTGGGGGAAAGTTCCAGATAGATATTTTGAGCTTAGTGTATAGAATTTTACTATGGAAAACCATTTTCTTCCACAGCACTTAGTAGTACAATTTCACTAATATTGACTGTATTAACAACAACAACAACAACAACAATAATAATAATAATAATAGTTATAAGTCATCTAGTCCAACCCCCTGCCCAGGCAGGAAACCCTATACCATTTCAGACAAATGGCTGTCCAGTCTCTTCTTAAAAACTTCCAGTGTTGGAGCATTCACCGCTTCTAGAGGCAGGTTGTTCCATGGTTAATTGTTCTAGCTGTCAGGAAATTTCTCCTTAGTTCTAGGTTGCTTCTCTCTTTGATTAATTTCCATCCATTGCTTCTTGTCTTGCCTTCAGGTGCTTTGGAGAATAGCTTGACTCCCTCTTCTTTGTGGCAGCCCCTGAGATATTGGAATACTTCTATCACGTCACCACTCATTCTTCTCTTCATTAAACTAGACATACCCAATTCCAGCAGCCGTTCCTTATATGTTTTAGCCTCCAGTCCCCTAATCATCTTTGTTGCTCTTCTCTGTACTCTTTCTAAAGTCTCAACATCTTTTTTACATCATGGTGACCAAAACTGGATGCAGTATTCCAAGTGTGGCCTTACCAAGGCATTGTAAAGTGGTATTAACATTTCACGTGATCTTGATTCTATCCCTCTGTTAATGCAGCCTAGCACCGTTGGCTTTTTTGGCAGCTGCAGCATGCTGCTGGCTCATATTTCAGTGATGGTCCACTAGGACTCTGGGATCCCTCTCACAGTTGCTACTATTGAGCAAGGTACCACCTATACTGTACCTGTACATTTGGTTTTTCTTGCCTAAATGTAGAACCTTACTTTTTTCACCATTGAATTTCATTTTGTTAAATAGTGCCCAATGTTCAAGTCTGTCAAGATCCTTGTATCTTAAGCCTATATTCTGGAATGTTTGCTATTCCTGCCAGCTTGGTGTCGTCTGCAAATTTGATGAATTCCCCATCTATCCCCTCATCCAAATCATTGATGAAGATGTTGAAGAGCCCTGGGGCACCCCACTATACACTTCCCTCCATGTAGATGCAGTTCCATTGAGGACCACACGCTGAGTACGGCCCGTCAGCCAACTATGATGTCAATGCTGCTAACATTGGATGTTCCCGCTCTGACAACTGATGAAAATGCAGCCATTTTCTCTATTCCTTTAATATGCTTTTTCTTACTTTAGAAATTAGGTGCAGCAGAGAGGGAGGGATTGGAATGTAAGCTCAGCTAGCCATAACAATAATGCTGCTGTGGGAATCCAAGGACAACTTGATAATGTTTTGGCAGTCTATGGAGTTAAGGAGAAAGTCCCCACTGTAACCTAATTGGGGAATGTGATTTATGACAGTTTACTTGGAGGTGGGAGTTGTACTTTGTTACTTTGTTTCTGGGAGAAGGGAATTTAGTTTTGGGGTTCAACTATGTAGTGCCAATACTTTGTACCCCAAATAAATGTACTTTAAGGAAGAATTTTGGCTCAAAGTTCTTTTGATGGGTTTCATCTATCAGAACCATGACATGAATCCATCTGGTGGTGATGCTGTCTAACCCACATTTTTCTATCTTTTTTATACCCTACAGACAGACATTCAGGAGCAACTCACCATTTTTGCAAGGTCATGTGTCAATGCAAGTTGATATGGTTAGTATAATATTCTGAATATAATTGAGTAAAGCAGATGTACATTTGGCTTGCCAGACATGTTGAGAGAGATGTGTAGCATATATTTAGATACCTCAAACTGGAATATAAGCAAACAATTGGCACTAAGTGATAGACTATATACAGAAATGGCTTTTCAGCAGTAAGAACTTTTTTAAATATATGCTTTAGCATCTACATTTATGTTGTATGTTCATATCTGCATTGAAGTACAAAATTAGTGCAGCATGGTAGAAGAATGCATCGTGCTTATATGCTACATCACAGAAGCTTGTAGAGAAAGTTCCGGAAGGTTCCAGTCAATTGTCTGATAGACTAGAAAGTGTCCGTTGGTCCAGAGGCCCAAGTTTGTAGAAACTGGAAAGAAATTGATATATCTTTCCAGTAGTCTTCCATTAATGATCATCAGAGCACCTTCCTTACTCTTATGGAACTTTTCAACTGAATCCAGTTATTGTTGAAAAAAATCTGGTGAGTTCAATGCACAATAATAACCCAGTAAATACCAGGATTTTTTTTAATCTTTGGATCCTGCAACAATGCCATGAGGGAGGAAATAGGAAATGAGTGAAGAGAACATACTTCTATTTCATTACTTCAATTACTATTGTTTTAAAATTTAAATTTAGAGGAGAAAAGTTTACAGAAGTCAATCATTGTCAATGGAGATGAAGTGACAGAAGTCTTGATATTATACACTGTGGAAAAAGAATTATCACTGAGATTGGCATTTCTACATTCCTTAGAACTAGGTATTATACATACATATAATTAAACATTTAAAGGAGAATATTTGTAACTCATGATTAGTGCTCTCTGAGCTTGGTGGGTTTTTGCAGATATTTCATTACCAAACTAGGTAGCATCAACAATGCTAATAGTGAGTGGGGTTGCATATTGTATATTCTAGATATACATTTCTATTAATATTTACATTAATATCCTACACCTCGAATATAAAATGTAAGCAAACCCCATTCCCTATTAACATTGATAAAACTACCTAGTTTGGTAATGAAATATATGCAAGAAAACCACCAAGCTCAGAGAATGCCAAGCACTCCACAACTGAAATTTTAACACAAGGAAGTAAACAAATAATAAAAAGTTAGAAAAGAAAAAAAAGAAATCAAAGCAAAAGATGAACAAGAAGGAGGAAAAAAAACAGAAAAGGAAGAAAAAAATATAAAGAAATAGCTTCAGATAAGCATTATACCAATTATAAATCTAAATAACTTTTAATCTCTCTAGAGGCAGAGGTTACATCATATTACTGTTCTTCCTATAATCTGTCTAATCAGCAGTAAATGCAGGTAATGTCTTTTCTCTAATCAAAGAAGTTAATTTATCCATTTCAGCAAATTCTGTCAACTTCACCATTCCAATGGGTAACGTTGGATCTTTTCATTTCCATGCATGCAATAATCTTGCCATTGTAATCAAATACTGAAGTAATTTTCCCTGGTTCTTTTCTAGCTGTTTATGCATTAATCCTGAAAGGAAAAGTTCTAACTTCAATTAAATATTGATCAGGACTAAATATTTTCTGAGTGCCACATTTTAAAAAGAATAAATAGTTCTGCCAGGACAATTTCACTGTGAGCCACCCATGCTGTACAAGCAATAGTTTTTTAAAAGTATTTTCTTCTCTTCTGGTTGATGCTGACATAACGCAACTTTGCCCCATGGATCTTGAATTCTTCCATTAAAAACAAACGACAATCCAGTTTAATGACTTACTATGATGTGTTACTCAAACATTTTATACATTATAGTATACTGCAATGTGTGAGCCCAGTTTGTATCTTCCTTTACCAAACATGGTTATTGCTATTTTGAAGCCTATTTGTCAATTTCATTGGATAAGCAAATCAACAAATAAGTACACAGTGCTCTTTGTTTGAACCCATTTTGAAAAGTTGGGCTCCTACACCTCAGGAAACCTTCAAATCCTGCAAACCTTGATGTCTTGAAACTCACAATACAAATGTGAATTCTAGAGCTGGAGCAACACACATCTGGAGAACACTAGATCGGGGAAAGTTGACACAAAGATGTGTTAAACTATCTTTTAGACCATGTATGAATATTCATTTGAAGAAACAACTCATGTTGACATTTTTTTTTTTTTTTTTTTTTTTTATTAAAAGTTTTATAAATTTTACAAAAAAAAACAAGAACAATACAGAACAAAAAACAACATATACAAAAGAAAAAAAAAATTAAACAATACATATAAAAAAAACCCCCACCCCACACCCCTCCCAAAAACCCTCCCTTCCCCCCCCCTGAGCTTCCCAGAGCAGAATATAGGCTTAAGATAATAATAAAAAAAATAAAAAAAAATAAAAATTAAATTAAAAACTTTATATTTATATATATAAAAAAGATATCTATAATATATATAAAAATAAAACTTATGAAAAAGCTATATAATATTTTTGTATACCCAATCTAAATTGTATAAATTTTATCCATTTGTCCCAGATAGCAAAAAACTTCTCTTGCGTTTGTTGCTTTAAGAAAGCCGAAATCTTTGCCATTTCTGCCAGATAAGCTACTTTAAAAAACCATTCCTGCAATGTAGGCAAAGATTCCTTCTTCCAATATTGTCCAATTAACAGCCTCGCGGCTGTGATCAAGTTTAACATCAATACAACCTCCTTTGTATCACAATCTGTAACAATACCTAACAAAAATAATTGCGGAGTAAATTTTACCCTCCTTCTAAAAATTCTCTGGATATTCCACCATATTTTGATCCAAAATGCTTTTATCTCTCTACATGACCACCAAATATGATAATAGGAAGCCTCCTTATAACCACATCTCCAACATTTAGGTTGCACGTCAGGGTACATGTAAGACATTTTTTGTGGATCAAGGTGCCATCTATAAAACATTTTATAAAAATTCTCCCTTAGATTCTGTGCTTGAGTAAATTTGACATTTCTCACCCAAATAGTTTCCCAGGTGTCCAATGAAACTGGCTCACCAAAGTTCTGCGCCCATCTAATCATACAATCTTTAATTAGTTCCGTTTCTGAGTCCAATTCAACTAAAACCCCATAAATTCTCTTAATGTGGGTTTGTCTTTGATCCTTCAGTTGCTTAATAAGATTTTCATCTTCTCTAAGAAAACCCACCTTACAATCCATCTTCCATCTATCTAGTAGTTGCCTATATTGGAACCAAGAATAAGTAAAATTTTCTTGTGCTAATTCTTCCCGTGATTTTAATTGCCAGTTTTGTCCATCCCATTTAAGTAACTGTCTATAAGACACCATATCCATTTTAACCCCTCTTTTTATTCCTTCTATCGCATGCCAAGGTATAGCCCATAATGGTACTTTAAAATCACTTTTATAATATTTTCTCCAAATCCTAAGTAAAGAAATTCTTAAAATATGAGATTTAAAAGCCCAATCTATTTTTTTATTAAATATTAAATAGGCATGCCACCCATAAAGTAAATCCCATCCCTCTAGATAAAGTATCTCAGAATTTGTCAAATTTACCCAGTCACTAATTAATGTTAAAACCACCGCATCATAATATAATTTCAAATTTGGTACCTTGAGTCCGCCCCTCTCACGGAAGTCTTGCATAATTTTGAACTTAACCCTTGGTTTTTTCCCTGCCCAAATAAATTTATTGAGACCCTTCTGCCACTCATTTAAATTAATCTCATTTTTCAAAATTGGTAACATTTGAAACAAAAAAAGAAACTTGGGTAGAATATTCATTTTTATCACTGCAATTCTTCCCATGAGGGATAATTGCAGCTTTTCCCAATTCTTCAAGTCTTTCTGTACCCCGACCCACAACCTTTCATAATTATTTTTAAATAGTTTTGCATTAGAAACAGACAGCATCACCCCCAAATATTTTACCTTATTAACAATCTCAAAACCCGTCGAGTTAACCAAAATCTGCTTCTCCTGACTCGACAAATTTTTAGGTAAAATTTTAGTCTTATTTACATTAATCTTAAAACCCGAGACCAAACCATAATGGTGAATCAACTGTAATAAGTTTACTACAGAATAATCAGGTTGCGACAAAGTAACAACCAAGTCATCCGCAAAAGCTCTCAACTTATATTCTTTTTTATTAACATATATTCCTTTAATTTCCTGAGACTCTCGAATTTTAATCAATAATATTTCCAATGTTAAAACAAACAACAATGGCGATAAAGGACACCCCTGTCTAGTACCTTTCTCTATTGTGAAAACCTCCGACAAACCTCCATTAACAATAAGTTGTGCTGTTTGTTTTTGATATATTACCTTAAGGGCTTGTAATATGTTTTCACCAAAATTCATTTCTTCCATTACTCTTAGCATAAAATGCCAATTCAGTTGGTCAAATGCTTTTTCAGCATCTAAAAATATGAGCCCTGCAGGAACTTGGTTGTTCTTATCTAAGTATTCTAATAAGTTAATAATTTGTCTAACATTGTTTTTCATATACCTTCCTGTTATAAACCCTGATTGATCTTTATGCACAAGATGATGCACCACCCTCATAAGCCTATTTACCAAAATTTTTACAAATATCTTATAATCCACGTTTAAAAGAGATATAGGCCTATAGTTTTTTGGTAAAGTAAGATCTTGATCCTCCTTTGGAATCAATGATATAAAAGCACTACGCCATGAAGGAGGAATCTCTAAACCCTGTAAGATACCATTAAAAAGATCATTTAATGGTTGAATCATCTCCTCCATTAAAGCTTTATAATAACAGCTGTTAACCCATCCGTACCCGGTGCTTTCCCTAATTTCAATTGTTGAATTGCTGAGGCGATTTCCTCCTTAGTAATTAAACCATTAATTTCATATTTCTGATCCTCAGTCAGTTTAGGAAAACTTGCCTCAGCTAAATATTTATTTATATCTAACAGTTGTACATTAGTAGATTTGTATAGGTTTTGATAATAATCCAAAAAAGATTTTTTAATTAATTCCTTCTGAGAAACTAGTTTACCCTTATAATTTATTTTCTCTATTATTCTCAGTCTCTGTTTCTTTCTTAATTGATAAGCCAACCATCTCCCCGGCTTATTAGCATTACAAAATGTATTTTGTTTCATAAATAATAAATTGGTTGCAGCTTGATCTGCTATCAACATATTAAATTGTGACCTTAATAACTTTACAGATTCTTTAGTACTTTCATCAGAAGGATTTAGAATCAAAGCCCTTTCTTTTAGTTTAATTTCATCTTCAAGTTCTCTACGTTTCTGAATCTGATTTCGCTTATAAAAATTATTCATTTTTATCAAAACACCGCGCATAAATGCTTTACCTGCATCCCATACCATTGACATTGAAGTCCCCTTATACATATTCAAAGCAAAATAGTCCTTTAAACACTCCTTTAGTTTTTGAACATTCTTCTCTTGTCTAAACAAATTTTCATTAACTCTCCAGGATCTTCTTTCCTCTTTCTCTTGAATCAACTCC